TACTATATTAAAACTATAGCAAATATGCACATTTGACAAAGCAACTGCGTGGAATCTATTGCTTTTTTGCTTTCAAAATTACTTTCACGATTAATTGATTAATGCAACTGCTGTAGATTATTTTCTGTCCATTGAAAAATCAGCTAATGGACTAAAAGTTTCACATTCAATATATCATACTTTTCACACATACACTCACCGGCCGCCTTTCTAGTACCACGTTGGACCTTTTTTGCCTTCAGAACTACCGTAATTCTTGGTGTCATAGATTCAACAAGGTGCTGGAAACATTCCTCAGAGATTTTGGTCCACATTGACATGATGACATCACACAGTTGCTGCGGATTTGTCGGCTGCACATCCATGATGAGAATCGTTCCACCACATCTCAAAGGTGCTCTATTGGATTGAGATCTGGTGACTGTGGAGGCCGCTGGAGTACAGTGAACTCATTGTCATGTTCAAGAAACCAGTTTGAGATGATCTGAGCTTTGTGACATTGTGCGTTATCCTGCTGGAAGTAGCCATCAGAAGATGATACACTGTGGTCATAAAGGGATGGACACGGTCAGCAACAATACTCAGGTAGGCTGTGGTGTTTAAACCATGCTCAGTTGGTACTAAGGGGCCCAAAGTGTGCCAAGAAAATCTCCCCCACACCATTACACCACCACCAGCCTGAACCGTTGATACAAGGCAGGATGGATCCATGCTTCCATGTTGTTTACACCAAATTCTGACCCTACCATCTGAACGTGGCAGCAGAAATCCAGACTCATCAGACCAGGCAACGTTTTTCCAATCTTCTATTGTCCAGTTTTGGTGAGCCTGTGTGAACTGTAGCCTCAGTTTCCTGTTGTTAGCTGACAGGAGTGGCACCTGGTGTGGTCTTCTGCTGCTGTAGCCCATCTGCTTCAAGGTTGGACGTGTTGTTGGTTCAGAGATGGTCTTCTGCAGACCTTGGTTGTAACGGTTGTAACCAGTGGATATTTTCTCTTGTTAGGACCATCCTCTGTAAACCCTAGAGATCGTTGTGCATGAAAATCTTCCCTTGGTTTGAACTTATGGTTGTCTTGACCATATCTACTTGCCTAAATGCATGGAGTTGCTGCCATGTGATTGGCTGATTAGCTATTTGCGTTAAGCAGCAGCAAATGTACACAACATTTCAATCAAAACATATCTGTGAGTAAAACTGAAATCCTAATTGCCCTAACCCCCTAACATACAGTTTGCTCTTTTCACCCTGAACAGCTTTAAGGTTATAGATAAATCATGTTGTTCCAAATCGTCATTGACTCTAATGTTTTTATGGTTGCTCAATTTCATCAAATGGCAACACACTAGATGTCGTGATTTGCACCATTTTACACATAATGATTATCTTTGGAGACCTAAAGCCTCCAAAGATAATCAATTTTGAATTTAAATAAAAGCTGTAAGGGTTTGAAATTGTCGATGAAGATTCTCAGTCATCCAGGTCATGGTAATCTTAAGTGCTAATATCGTAGGCAACTGGACTTGCTTGCGTTTCTTGAAGACGTTTCCCCTCTCATCCAAGTCTGAAGAAGCTTCTTGGATGAGAGGCGAAACGTCCTCAAGAAACGCAAGCAAGTCCAGTTACCTACAATATTAGCACTTACGAAGGGTTTGAACATTTGGTCGCATAGTTCAATCCTGAAATGGCTGATGCCTCGATCAGTCAACAGGGTTTAAACAGACTTTAAAGCACTTATTTAACTTTTTTAAGTTCTGTAATATAACCACTCAGTGATGCCCCAAAGTGGGGGACAGGGGGCTATGGCTGCCCTATTAAAACTGCTACCCCCACCCCAAGTAAGTATTCAAGTATTATTGTGAAGCAAAATGTCTCCATAGAGAAGCAAAAGTGACCTCAAAAGCAGCAGGACAACATCAACAAGTAGGACCAAATTACGTCACGTGTCCATACTGCAGTTATAAAAGGCCTGAACAAACATTGGCACAAGTCAATGAGTAATTTAAACATGGCTGGTCTCCACATGAAGAACAACAAAGGGACGAATCTGATGCATCAAACACTTTCAGTGATTGGCGAATTATATTGTTTGCAAAGACACTCGACACCAAACCACTGTGGATGCACCGCAGGGTTTTGTAACCTTTCAGGGACAGGGAGTGGTGAAACTCCGCAGCCTCTTTGGTTTGGATGTAACTAAATCCTTTTTATGATTACCAAGGGAAAGATATGATGTGTACACACGGTCTGTTTGACTTTGAGGGTTTGTTTGCCGTAGACAGAGGAGGGCCAAAGAGGCTGACGACGTCTCTGAGTGAGAAATGGGCGGGCTCGAGATCTGAGCTGATGTGTGAGTGGTGGATAGTTGCACACCCCCATGCCCGTCATCACCAGGGAGGAAAACAAGTTATTCTGTAAACTGACACACTTCTGATAAAAACAAAACCAGGTTATCATCAAGGGAAACTTCGATTGCATCCGTTCTCAAAATCACGGACGCATTATGACATATTAATTACTTTACGTGTCATTCCCAGGGAACATGAGAGGAATGCTGACTGTGAGATGACACAATTCTAGTTTAGTTTCTTTAAGTGTTTTTAGTGTATGCTGAAGTAAGGTCTAACCCCAGCTGAGAACATCTGGGCAGCAAAGACAAAAACACACACACACACTTTGCTCCAAGAGGCTGTCAAGGACTCGTGTGTGAGAAGTTAAGCGAGGCTTTCAGCCATGAAATCAGAGTAGTGACAGACCCAAGGCCACGCTGATATGGAGAGAAGAGTGATGGCCGGACGATAGCAGTGTAAACACCGACTGCCATCACATGCCTTCATGAAGCAGCTGATCCCTGGCTATTTATTCCCCAGTCACCACATCAGATGATCCTTTCGTCAAAGCGATGGCAACATATTCAGTGAGGTGGTTGGGCTGCTGTTTGCTGAGTCTTGTACAGGCCATAAGGGGACGGCATGGGAACGTGAATTCTATGTCAGCTGCCATTAGAGTAGGAACATCCTTCGTCACTGAGCAGTGACGAACGTGACCCAGACTGACAATGAAATGAGACATGACATAGATATTCTATTCTATGGGTTTTGAAAAATGACAATCAATCCCAAACTTTTTAAATCAGGGGAGGTTTTTTGGGGGTTAGGAAGACATCATGTTGTGGCTAAAAATACTCAGTTTTGTTGCTCAGAACACGACCGTTTGGAGATGTCACTCCATCTACCTTCTGGCACCGGAGGTCAAGATCAAGTCAGAGATGCTGGACTCTTATGTTGGACAGATGTTAAATTTTGGTTGGAGTGAAAATTGGGTTGACAATTTAAATGTCTAATGATGTAGGATATTTGTGTTGTGTGGACGTTAACAGGTTTAGGTCTCTATACCTTAAGAATAAATGTCGTTATTCTACGTCAACATGATGTTGGCATGAGACCTTTGGACAATGCTGGATTTTAGTTACTTAACATTCATTCATTCATTTTCCGTAACCACTTATCCTGTTAGAGGTCGTGGGGAGGCTTTAGCCTATCCCAGCTGACATTGGGTGAGAGGTGGGTTACACCCTGGACAGGTCACCAGACTCACAGGGCTGACAATAGCCCCTTTTACACTGCCAGATTTTCAGCGAATGTTGGGCTGTATTGCCGGCAAGCTACAAGCGTTTAGACACACAGAGCCGGATTGGCGAGTTGATCCGAGGTGCCCAATTTTCCGCCTCGTAGGGTAGTCATATTGGCAGAACCCTTTTAGTTTAAAAAGACCAAGGCAGCCTTCCACAACGGGAGGGGCTGTTGATGACTTGTGGGAGAAGCTGTTGATGACGCTGCACGTGTGACCCACTGGGGGTGGATAAACAGGAAACAGCTGATAGCAGGAATTAGTGAGCAGCTAGTAGCAAGAGGGAAATGCAAACCTGACAGACACTGTAAAGATGAGCAACTGGGGAGACAAGGAATTGCGCACCCTCCTTGTCCTCGCAAACGAAGAGGCCATTAACCGTCAGATGACGGGAACGGTGAAGAACGGGCCAACTTACGAGAGAATTGCCGAAGGACTGACCAGCCGTGGCTTCCCTCCCACGTCACTGTTTACGTCACATGCTGAGCTACACATTTTCTTACTTGCTCACACCCCCCATTGCCCCGAAAAACGCGCATTCTGTATAAACAAAAGTAGGTAGGCGGCATTTTGCCGCACTCCCCGATTTTGTTTTTATACTGCCAATGCTGAAAGAAGACTGATTGGGCTTTCCTGCAAATTTGCACAATTCCTGTTTAAAAAGGGCTACATAGAGACAGACAACTATTCACACTCACATTCACACCTAAGGACAATTTAGAATCACCAATTAACCTGCATGTCTTTGGACTGTGAGAGGAAGCCGGAGTGCCTGGAGAAAACCCACGCTGACACGGGGAGAACATGCAAACTCCACACAGAGGGGCTCCCCCACCTGGGGTTCGAACCAGGAATCCTGCACACAACTTTAAACCAACAAAGTATGAGTGTCATATGTCGTCAGTATTCAACATCAAACTGACGTTGGCATTAGACATTCTGACATTGAATTTTGGTCGCTTGACATCACAACCTAAATTCAACCAAATATCAACATCTGGACAGCTGGGCATCATCTACTCCTCCTCCTCCTGATGGCAATCTGAGTTCATTTTCATAAAATCAGAACTGTCACTTTAGAAATGTTGATATGATATGTATGAAATGGTCGAGTCTAACATATCCACGGTTTACAGAAACGTACAACAGCAAACGTAGCAGCTCGTCGCTAACTTTGTCGGACATTTGATGTGGGCTAAGTAGCGTGGATTGATGAGAGTGGGGAGAAACAATAATGTTGGTTAAGTATTAAAACTATACATCAGCAAAGTCTGATAATGTATTTATAGTTGATGGAATGTTAAGACTGATAAAAATCAAACACAAATCTTGCAGCGAGAACAAAAACTCTATTACAGAATCTTTTGTGCTATATTTTTTAATGTCTTGAAAACTTAAAAAAAAAAAACATGTAATCTTTTCAACAATAATATATTTTTACAGACATCTGATCAGCAGTGATTAATTTACTTAAACGTTTATTTTGAAATCAGACTTTTGCAGTAAGGCATTGCACAAACACAGTAGAGTATTTGACTTTGACAAAGCAACGATCATAATATAATGCATAATGCAAGCATAGGAAATTTGCACACGTGTATTTACACCATTACCTGATTGAATGCATTGTTCGATGCGTGCACACATAAAAAGCAACAGTAGGTAAGGTGTCTTTTTTTTTGGCAAAAGGAAAACATGTATATAGTGCAGCTATGAACGACTGTCCCTTTATAAAGCAGTTTAATGTAGTGGCAGGAATCAGTTTAATTAGTGTGATTATTACATCATTCTTGAAGCAAATAGATTTAATGTATGAAGATGACGTGGACGAGCAGAGAAAATGCTATTTCTTACTGGCCAACACACAAAATTGGCCAAAGATGACCACAATGGGTTTAATTTTATCCCACAACTGCCATGTTTTTGTATTTAAAGTGCAGCATAAAGCTTTCCTGATATGCTAACGGAAACTACCATCACCCACAGCACTGAAAGATGAGCTTTCATGTCACTTTGCCAACAAAATTCAGGTCATGTTGCTGTAAACAGGTTGAGCTGCTTCTGTAAGTGCAATTAAGGATTCAGAAGAAGCACCAGCAGTGTTTTTGTGGCTTTCATGGTCATGAATTCCAGTATGATGACTCCTTGCGTCCTGCGGCTACAAGACGCTGACATGGTTGGTGTCATCTGCACACACTCAAGTCTAATAGTTGGAGTTTGGTTGCATATGTTGGCATGTTTTCACATTTAATGTTGAGACATATATTGTCTAATATGGCGGCAGCTGGTGAGCACTGACAACAACAGTGAAGCTAATTACAGGAATTATAATTATCTGTTTCTGGTACTGTATATGCCTTTCACACAAAGTGCATTAGTTTTGGACCTTGAGCGACTTGAAAGCATCTTGTTTCATAATGTCCGTGAACACAACATTTATCATATAACTTTAATACCAAAATATAAATTGGTCTTTGAAGCAACATCTCACATTAATATATTTTCAAACCTGCATCAACTCTGTAAAGTCTCCTGATAATAATATGACCAACACATTGCTGCAACAAATCCTCATACGCTCACACATATTCGACTATTACGCATAATGAAATTGGAATAGAATAATAATTTTGCCCAAAAATAACCAGGTGAGCAAACATTTCATAAGGTTATGTTAAATAAGTCTGTCTCAATCCCTCCAGCTGGCTGCATCCTGGAATGTCAAGTAATGATCAGATATTTATATACAAGATATTTCCATCAGATTCCCATTAACCAAGCCTCCGCTCTCTTCGTATGGTGTAGCAGGTGCTGACCCTACCTACGCTTATTACATCATCTCATCGTGCAGCAGAGTCACATGCTGCCTTATAGCACCCTATATGTTGCCATAGTTACTCTGCAGTGCTTCAGTGGCATTTACATTCAGCAGGATGTTTGGTGAAAGCGTGTACCCTGTGGTAAATGAGCATCCAGTATTCCGGCCTAAAAAAGATCAGTGCCCCCAAACATATATAGTGATCTATTAGAACACACTGAGAGAAAATGGAGTCATTCAGATTGTTAAGGTATCTTTGTGTGTGTGTGTGTGTGTGTGTGTGTGTGTGAGATGTGAGGGTTTGACGAGAATTAGTGACTGTAAAATCAGCTGATAGTTTAGGAACTGAAGAGTTTTTTTCTCATGATAGAGTAAGGATGCAATTAACTATTATTTTCCTTATCATTAAATCTAGTGATTAGTTATCTGATTAATTAATTACTTAATTAATGAAATGTCAAAAAAAGAGAAAAAAATGCCAATCTGACATTTTCAAATTGGGCATATTGTCTGACCAACAGTCCAAAAACACAAAAATATTAAATTTACAGTGATTTTTGACGAAGAAAAGCAGCACATCCTCACGTTTTATGAACTGGAGCCGGTGAATGAGTGCATGTATACTTCAAATAATTACTGAAATGTTAAATCAATTACCTAAATAGCTGCCAATTATTTTTTGGACGACTGATTAATTGATAAATCAGCCCCTCCAGGATGTTGCAATGTCACGATCCCTGTGAATTCTGCGCAACCTTGCAATTTTCACGGAACACTGCAACTTTTCCGCAAATTCGACCAATCATTGCAGTTTCCTGTGAGTTTCACCAATCACAGCAGCCCCGGCGTAACGTCACCAAACTCACTGCCTTGTTTCTGTTTATGGAGATGCATGAACATCTCACACTCACCAACAAAAATGACTGCTTAAGAGTGGGCAAGACAGTTCCCTGACATACTGCACGAAAGCGGGGGTAAACTGTTTTGCAGTGTGCAATGTTGTGATGGAACACACACACCTTTTTAACCCCAAAACACACTCAGAAAATGGCTGAAACTGGGTCAACGACAGACAAGAGATATTACCATGACAGGGGCTGTTGCATCCAGACCTATTCCACATGCAGAAGGTATCAAAATGAGTTAGATTACATATTTATGGTTAGTGTAGTATCAATTACAAACTTTCACTGGTTAAAGTTCGATTAATAATGAATATACAAAAAAAATCCACAACTATTTTTGCATTTTTTACCTTAAAAAAAGAAAAAACACTGCAACATGCATTGCAGTTTATTAGAAAAACTGCAATTAAATCAGGCATTTTAGGGCGCAAGAGACCCAAAAACAAATCCTGGAGGGACTGATTGTTTCAGCTCCGTATTAGACAACTACGAGATGATGAATGTTTGGCTTTTAGCAGCACTCTTAGGAAATAACAGCATGTTTTTTTCGCTCTCACTCCTGCTTAGTTTCAATAAAACAACCTGATAAATTAGCTTTAAATGTATGTTTTTTTCCTGTATGCACGCAAAGTGTCAGGGCACAAAGATAACTGTAGAGAGGTCAGTTATAATATAATCTCAGTTTAGGGCCGTTCTATTTCTTTTTTTCATCTGTGCAGGAAACCAAAATGTAACATCAATTATAGACACAATCCCAAATTATAATGTTTTGATTTTAAAGCCTAAACTTGGGCCGACACTGATCTGTTTCATTATATTTTCACATTTTCTACCTCTCTCTTCCATCTCTGTCTCTCACTCTACGGCGTCTGCAGCAGAGGATCTTCAGTCTCCAGCTGGGCCAGCTGCCTGCGCAGGCTGTTCACTTTGTTCTGAAGCTCCTTGTTGTATTCAATTATGTGTACCATTTCCTCGTAGGCCTCGTCCAAACACTTAGATGAGCGGTTCCAACGAAGGAACACTCCTGTAACAGAAGACGGGGGCAAGCACTGTGAGTAATCTGTGAACAACAACAAAACCTCACACAAGGAAGTGGTTTCTCTTATTCCTTTCATGCTCTAACAAACGTCTACAACTCTGCAATTTGTACTGTGAGGTTTAAGCACAATCACACTGGCATGCCGATTCCAGCAGGTAAAAATTAACCATTTCCAACATTATACTTCATCACAGTAGTACTGAGAGTAATAAACATATGTAAAGATTCTTGAATGATCATTATGGGCGGGGGACTTTGATAGAGGAACTTCTAACTGATACAGTGGAAAAACACAAGTGTGAGGACAGAGGTGTGACTGGAATTTAAGTCACAGTATGATGGAGACTAGTCTGTCATAATGAAAGTGAGTGTGGCAATGACAGTAAAACATCTGCACGCAACAGAGGTTTAATGTGCATTCATGCGGCTAAAATGTTATTTATGTCACATCACGGAGATCTCAAATATTTTCTCATGTTATTCATTAACATATGGGTGGACTATTGTTTCATTGCACTTGAAAGCAGCAAATTAAAAATAAGTTCCTTGAAATTCATGTTGGAATTAGTACACCTAGAAATATATTTTCCAACCTCTAAATTAAGAATTACAGAAGTTCTTAAGTTTTTGATTCCAGGCTAGTAGGAGCAGAATACTAATGGGAGCAAAGGACTGCAGGATAACATAACATTACTGAGAGGATTTAAGGAGAACACCACCCAAATTAAAAATTCCAATTTGTTATTTCTATGCCGTTCAATCAATATTTGCAAACATGTGCTACTCTCCTTCAAAGCCAGAAACCACAGAAGTAAGTCTGAAACTTGTGATGTTGTCGGATTTAAAGTCTGCAGCTGCTCCATAGACAATGAATGGAAGTCTGATTTTGTGGGCCCACAGACTGTTTATTTTCTTTTTTTATACCCGTGTAGTGTTCTTAGTTCTGAAACAGGAAATTTACCCATATACTCAGTACGTTTCCCTGGGTGCTCTGCTCTCAGTGTCATCTAGAACACTGGTTCCCAAGTGGTCCAGCCACAGGATCCAGATTTCTCCTTAGTCATTGGTTCAAGGCCCACAAGATTTAATACATTCAGTTGAGTTACATACAGTCACATATATTTATACTTGAATTTGACCATGTCTTCAAGCTTGTTTGCTGGTGTCACTCACTCTACAGCAGGAAACAGCACTTCAAAATAAAAGCTCTGAGCCGGAAATTCACTGTACCTAAAAATAAAGTGTTTTTTTACAAACTTGACATGTTTGCACTTCACTTGTGGTCCATTCAGAATGGACCGCGACCCACCAGATGGGAACCACTGATCTAGAACATCTTTCCCAATACATTGTCTGTGGAGCAGCTCCACACTTTATACCCCATGACATCACAAATTTGAGTTTTAGCACTCAAATTTTTAATTTGGGAAAGAGTTGTTCATGTTTGCTAGTATTTTTGGACCGTCTCAGGCCACAGGACTAACATGTATGAATTTTGAAAATGGGTTTCAAAAGTTTCCCTTTAAGCATATCTAAATACTAGGCAAAGGGAAACTGCAGCTACTTTACACACAAAATGACCGTTTGTATATCAATTAGTCATGCTGTGTTACTTTGAAATCTTTGTTTTTCTCGCATGCCCCCACGAAAACTCTCCACACAACTCCTGCAGTGTAATCAAAGTCTCACTCAACCAGCTGTGTGCTCAGTGCTCCCAAACACAGTGACAGTGAAAAATCCATGCGCTATTAAAACCAGACTCTAATACTAACGTTTTTTAGCAAAAAAGATTCACACGTCCAAGCACGGCCTGACTACGTGTCTCACAAACAGTCATTTTGTGGGTGAAGTATTCCTTTAAGAACATGGACATGAAGCCCTGCTCACATTCTTTGTAAAACAACTCATCAAACGTCTTTCCAATCCTAAATCAACAACACAACTTCTTCTAAGCACAACTGTGCCTTTAGATATTGTGTGAAATCGTAAAAAATGTATTTGGTCTTCTCCAAAGCCTCGATGCAAACCATTAGTCCCCATTACTGTCAACATGGAGGCTATACATGGCTTTCCATGGGGTCTTTTAAGTTGGCCCAGGAGTATGCGTCAGCCTCTATGGTAGGTGTTGCGTAAGCAGGATGTCTGCTGCGTTTCACGTGCCTCAGTAGTTCTCATAGTTCATATAGATGAGGGAGTGGCTCTGAGGCTTTAAGGCAGGAAGAGGGGCCCCTTAAATAGGTTCGACTGAACCTCATGACCCTGTGTCTGTTTGGAACCCCTCCCCCTACGCCTCTTATGAATGGCTTTTGAGCTGAATGCAACATTCAGCAATTTCAAGCACAGTGGTCCCCGGGGCTTTTTTTTTGGAGTTTAGGTCAGTGAACCAACAATTATTGAAACTATCTTCTTATTTAAACTATTTAAGAATCACCATCATAAAGTCTGTCAAACTTTATACGTTTGTTGCATTTAACAAAGTCATTTCATACACCAGAACTGACGAAATGTTTCAAAATGTTTTTCCAGCAGTGGATACTTGAGTCGGCATCTAATTTATTCTGTGCAAAACTCGATTCACAAGTAACAAGACAACAATGTGAAGTCTTCAGAGAGTGTCTCTGCTTAGAAAAAGACTGATACAATCTCAGTCTCATCCTGTTACACGGAGGTTAAGTTTCACGCTCAAGGGCGCTGAGAGAGAAAAGAGCAGCATGCATACACTTCACCCACGCAGGTTTTCTTAAGCATTATGGACCCATCGCTGTATCACCGTTTGCTCATTTTATTTACCACCATTTGTTGCTTCGAAACGCTGCATACTTTATGTCAAGTTAACAAAGGTGGCAGAGGTAAATGAAAAAGCTGCTACTTGTATTTATAGAAAATGATCAAGTAGGGTTTTACGCAGCATCTGTGACGAGCACAAGTGGGAAAGTGTGCTACAGGTTTAAGATTAGCGCACATATGACTGCTAACTAGTAGTAAACCGTCACTGTCACTGTCCAGCATCACCGGGCTCAGGTGTCAGTGAGGACACCGTCTGCGCGACCTATAATAAGGCAAACACGCAGGCCAAACACATCGCCGAGATGCCTGCAAAGCAATTTGAGCAATGTTGCAAATGTGAAGGTGCTGAAAGCCAAGTGAGAGGAAAAAAGTCATATGATCTCAGCAGCCACATGCAGAGATTGACCTCTTGCTGCTCAGAGAGATCAGAATATATGTCATAGTTTATTTATTTCACATTGAATACCAAATCTTATCAATAATATGCACGTTATTTTTTATTAGCCTGTCATGTTCACACTTTATAACACCCCTTAAACTGCAGATTTTTTTAACAGTGAGAGCTGTTTCCTGCAGTGACAATGTCCTGTTGTGTCTAACGGTCATGTAATTGAACAGGAGGAAAATTATAGCCTGTCATTTTTGTGTCTCACATGGTTAACTGTGGCTGCGACAAATGCCCCTTTAAAATAAAACACATGCACGCCTGTTTTCATGTATGTAACTCTGAACATAGGGGCAAAAGTAAATGGGGACCAAAATATCCATGTTGTGGTACCGATTTGTGGCTCACGGGGTCACCCAGTTTATCCGCTGTGCAAATGAGGAGATCAATGGTGCCTCCTTCTGGTTGGTCTGAGCAAAAATGTACCGACAGATGAGACTGTGAACAATTAATGGCCATGTGACTGTGGCTTCTCCACCCATTGTTAACAACTGTTCAAGGTGTTACTCATTGTTCTTAGCTGTTCACTTAGTCAGACTCGGTTTAAGGTCTGTCATTACTCAAAGCTTAAACCAACAGCATGATTCAAACGCACTATGTCATGACAAGTGTCAAGCTGTGCAAACAGCATGCGGTCCTACTGGTTGATGTGCACAGAAACAGGCTTTCTGTGTAAAACAAGAATATCAGGATTGCTGGTGGAGCCTACTCCCTGTCTGCTTTAGCTCACATTTACAATGCATTATAATGATTCACTCAATCCTCTACAGCAGTGGTTCTCAACCTTAGGAACCCTAAATTGATACACCTCTAGAGTGAATTAATAATGAATATAAACTCATCCTCATTTTTCGGGGGACCCCCCTGGAACACTATCAAGAAGTCTATAGGTTGAAGATTTTCCATATAAAGGTGACAAAAACTTCAATTGTGTGACCAGAAGTTTAAATTTAAACAATGTGTCTTAGTTTGACACTTAGCAACACCTTTATAATGAGCATGGGAACTCGTGTGTTTCAGCTAATAAAACAAAAGCTTCACTTAGTTTATCTCAACCCTGTTTTTAAACCTGCTTAAACATTCAATACAAATTTTCTGCTGCAATGCCGTCACTGCAGTCAGTTTCAGATTCCTTTACCAGGAGCCGAAATATCCAAGGAGGTCTCCTCCTCTCCACAACAAACAGACCCAGCGATTTCAACCAGTAAAAACACTGAATGCAACAGTTTCATGTTAAAAATCAGTGTTTTTCTGATGCTATTTGCAGTGGTGAGGGCTGGAGCCAAACTGACACGCATATTTGCTCAGCATTTTACTCTGATAACTTAAGATCCAGACGTCTGATGACTTAAAATCCTTCATGCAGTTAAAATACATAGTTAACAACTGAGATCTAAAAACAGCATCATAAAAATGTGCTTAAAAAAGCCCATAACTGACAGCTTCTTGCAGACAACATCACCCTGATGCATGTGCAAAGAGGATGTGACCCCACTGACAGGCGACGGCTGCCAAATAAAATGGACCAAGTACTAGATTAAAATTATGGATTACTCTGGGTTTAAACATTGTTGGAAAAATTTGAGATAAACTAAGTACTCAACTCCACAAAACATAAAACCCTGTTATAGTTGTTTTTAGATATTTCAATGTGGAAAAGTAAGTTAATTGCACTTGTTGCTGCTAGTTTTTGTCTGAAACATTTGCACCCATATTCACTTTAAGGTCTGCTCCTCTAACTGTGGAATAATTCTGGTCATTATTCTTATTTTTTGCTTTGGTTTAGTCTTGTTTTCAGTGTATTTTTAACAGTGTTTTCTTTCCTTATCCAGTGCAACACAAAACCAATATGGCTGCTTTAAAAAATTATATTTAGTGCTGAGGGATACAGTGTTTATTGAAGGGTAGTGCAAATGTAACCAGCTGACATTACAGTCTTTTCAATAGAAAAAACCCTTTAGGTCACCCACTGTACATAATATCAGCCACTGCATGTCCTTTGTGTTGGTTTCTTACCTTCCCACAGCAGCAGACTCTGAGGGGCCACAGAGGGCCAGATCACAAGACTGTTGGCCTCGTAGAGCGGGTTGGTCAGACGCTCCAGTTCTTGGGGCCGGTTCACCCACGACCACAGGGACACAGTCTTCTCAGGTAGAGACAGTTTGACCCTGTGAAAACAGAGAGAGGGTTTTAGGTTAGTCAATAAGAACACTGGCTGCCTACAGTCTGATAACTGGGCACATAACCTGAACAATGACACATTCCTGCATGAATAGGGAACATCTTGTTCATTTCCCTCAATAAAACTCTCAGTTAGGCTCACCTAACCCATAGCAGAGACAATTAAGCTCTTTAGTGGCCACTAAAGTGAAGAAAAGTCCATTTTTTGGATGATGTAACTCTTTACATCAATGTCATGAATGGGACATCACCACACTCATGACTTATACACTAGAACTGAACCTTTATAAACACTGTATTATACTGTATTGTATTTGTTTGCATTAGATTATGCAGGTGCACTTCGGGTATTACAGCCCAACTTCAACAGACTTCACACTCACCTCTCGGCTGTGCTGTTGCCCAGGAAGGTGCCAAACTGAGAAGCATAGGCGTGTTCAAAAACCAGCACCAGGAAGCTTTCGCTGAATTCAAAGGAGCACGGAAACTGGCGAAGGATCTGCCACACGCAGTCCAAGAAGAGAAGGAAGACAGGCGCCTCCTGTCGAGGCTTGTTGTTGGAGTAGGCTGACTGGGCGCAGCGCTGCTGGAACGGGTGACCCGCCTGGGACAGATGGTCAAAGAGGTTAAAGGGGTCATGAGAAGGAATACAAAGACTTAGCAGTCCTGATTACTTTACTGGCATGGCAACATTTTTTAAGCTTGTGTGTAACTTTAAAATGAGATATTCTTTATTATTCCATGTATCAAAAAGGTGAAAAAGATTTTGGCTGCGCTTCAAAGGTCAGATAAGCTCACCTTGAGCCACTCTCGCTCAACCAGACCCTGGAAGCCTCTGATGGTCCTGCAGGCCGGATCAAGGATGATCTGAGCCAAGGAGGTCACCTGCAGGGTGGAGTCTGTCCCCTCTGTACCGTGAACGAGCACCGACGCCCCCTCCCTGAGACAAACACACATTGTGAAACCTGTGATTTTCTAAACTCAGTATGTACAGCTTAGTATTTTACTGGTCTATGATCAGCATAACAAGCAAATGCTGTTCCCTGACCTGTCGATACACTGCGCAGCCAGGCAGGCGGTGGTGAGGATCTCCTTGACATGAGTCTGCCAGTTGGAGGCCTCTAGCTTGCTTAACCAGCGGTCCATACTGTGCGACTGGTCGTTACACGCCTCTACCAGCTTTATCAGGCTCTCCTGGAGGATGTTAGACCTGGGAATGACAGATGTGTCACAGAAACAAATGTCTGAATAGTTCATATATACTGAGTGTAAATGTCAGTAACACGAATGTTTCTGACACATAGTATCAATATCACAACCTATCCAAAGACTCTTAACAATGTTTATGAAAAATTTTCATTGTAACGGGATGAGTAACTGATATACTGGTGAAGTATTCCTTTAAGGAAGAGACACAAAAGAAAGCACAAAGATAAGAAGATTACTTATTACCTTTATTGCTCCACTGAAGCCCTTACTGATCACTCACCTTTCGATTGCCTTGTGGATCCTCCTCCATTGGGGGTAGTTAGCCTCAGACTCAAATCCTCCCCCTCGAGCTTTGGCCTGCTGGGCAACACTGATGGTGCGTGTGTCAATGATGTAGCCGCGTTTGCCTGGCCGCAGGGTGGCATTGATCAGCTTCTCGTCTTCCTTACACCGACGCCCGTTGGTGCCTGTCAGTGGCTGCCCTGCTCGCATCATCACCTGAAAGTGGAAGTGATATGAGGCAATTTTCTAAAAGCAAACATTCCATACAAACAAAACAGTAAATCCAGAGAGACTGTTTGCAGCAGAACTCATATAAGCTCCAATTCACAGGCTCTCACCATGCCATTCTTCTTGTGGTAGTAGCTAAGCACTGGAAAACGACCACTGTGTCGGAAGGTGGCTACTTTCCTCAGTGTGTCATCATCAACATCTTTGGGCACTGCCACTAGAGGGGGGTATGATGGACACACACTGAAATCCTTGTTGACATCACTCAGTCTCCACTCATCTGTCTGATAAAAGAGATGGAGACAGGTTAAAAGAGGGGTGTCTAGCATGTTATGAGGGAATGTTAAAAGTGAAAGTTTTTGTTTTGATCAAATCCATACCATGGACTCCAAATCTTTAAAGGCATCCTCTGGAAGAAATGAATTCCAGCCGTCTTCTATGACTTCAAACATGGGCCGGTAGAAGAAAGGGTACATCAGGGAGGGTGAATCAAGAGTGGAGAGAGCCTGGAGAGGAATATGTATTAGTTAATCACATGTAGAATTTCATTTAATATTAAAAACAGGACCAGTTTTCTTTATACCTCAATAGAGCTGGCAATGTTGAGACACTCTTCCATGCCAGGGATGTCGAGCTGGATCACCCTCAGGTCTTTACATTTGACTATGATGCTCCCCAGAGACCCCACAAACCTGAAAGGGAAGTTGAAGATTTTATTCAAAACATAAGCTTAGAAAATTAAAAGAAATATGACAGAATGACCCCTGTGTGGAAGTTGCATGTTCTTCTCTTGTTGGGAATCCTCCTGGCATATTGTCCTATACTAAAAGATGTACATGTTAGCTATTAGGAATACTCCTGCCTGCATTTGATGAAGGCACCGACGTCAGAGCTCGAGCTGGTCCCCAGTAGCTGCTGCTAAATAGTTGTGGTTAATACAGACAATAACTTACCATAATGAATTAACAATGTCTATACTGATACATCAAATAAGGGTGTCAGGACACTGCATTAACGTGCAATCATTAGTTTGTTCCTCAATGCTGTTACATGTACAACTCCCCCCAACCTTGTCAACCACACAAAGTCTCAGTCGGAAACACTGCAGTGTCAGCCCATAGTCAGACTCACACTTCCTGTCACAGTTTCAGATCCTCTTCCCACTGTACAGCTCAAGCATAAGTGTACTACAGAAAAATTAGCAGAGACAGGCTCAGATCTGGTGCATGCAATTGCAGAGATGGACCGCAAAGACAGCTTTAACCACAGTCAAACACAACTCTACTTTCACTCTTTCCTCTTGGTCATGCAAAATGATTTCACCAAACACACATCCTGCTGATCTGCCTGTTTGCATAGTAAGTTTCATGAGGGGTGAGACAAAAAGCTCAGCTAATGAAACTGCAATTTCACTGATATTTTACAGGTGCAAAATCCCCACACAAGTTAATAAGAAGCTCGTCACCTTTTCTCTATACAGTCAATGTTTGAGTGCAGCAGCCACAGCTCCTCTGTGTTGTCCTGTCTGGAGGAGAGAATCAGGTGATGACCCGTCAAACACAGTGTCCCCTCCACTGTGGGCATGAAAGGCCGATGTAGGACAACCCCATCCACCCTGGGTGTCTTTATCAACTCTGCAAACTCCATGTCCCGACCTGGAAGAGGACAGCAGACAGCCAAGATACAGCAGAAACAAATGATGAGGGTATGGGGTTTTTAAAGCATATGGCTACCGATTAGCTAACGTAACCACTGCTAAGACAGACTTACACAAAGCCTGCTGTGCTGCTGTTAAATTCAGATATCATAAAAGTCGATGTCAGTAAACACTGAACCGATAAATGCTGCAATAATTAGTCAGATAGCTAAAATTAGCTTGACTCAGGAAATGAAGTGGCTAACGTTAGCTAGCTAGCTAATCGGATACATTGTCCGTCATTTTAATATTTACGTCAAATTGTTTATGTTACACAAAATATAAACGTACATAATAAAAATTTACGCCTTTCATTTATGCTACAATTAGTTGTACAATTACCTGGTTATCTTTTCGCTATAATTGCAGTTGGGCGAGACTGGTACGTTCACATAAACAAGCCGACTGGAAACAAGTGCCGAGTGATATTTGGGTCGCGACGATTTGCGCTGCAAATTCCCAAATTCTTCTTTCTAAAAATAGAAATTAATTTAAATTAAGCTTTTCGGTTATTTTAAACATCAAGGTTATACTTAAATGTGAGTTTATAACGTCAATTCAATGGGACAAAACATATGAAATTAAATAAAATTGTGTGTGAAAATGTTGGTTCCTATCAAGATTTTTTTTTTATCAGTCATCTGTCAGTTTAGTCATTTCAGGGCTTTACTTAAGTTTAAGGAATTTTATTTCTTTTTCTGTGGAAGATTTTTTTTATGAAATGAATGTACATTACTGTTTTTAAACTCATCCACGTATCATCTATTCATCTTCTGCTGTATGACAATGTTAAAAAAGGGACACTAGGTGGTGACATTCAGAGATTTTTGAGAGACTCGTGGCATTAAAGGACTGTTTATGGCTTCATAGCTTCAATAACACCAAATTTCAAAATGCCTGAAAGGTAAATTCTGCATGATCGTGAGAAATAGTTATCATATTAACAAATGATAACACTTTAAGAGAAGTAAATAGGCCCCAAACTCAAACGCAGACTCTGAAAGGCAGACTGGCTGATTTAATGGCTTTTGGTAGGTCAGTCAGGCTGCCTACCACTTCATTAATTCATCATTCATATTGACAAGCAACAAACCAGGCAGACTAAACTCAATACAAACAGCCAGCAGGCATGTCAGTTTACATGAACCAGCTGGGAACTAGACAGCAAGAAAGTCCAGGCTGCTCAGACAATCTAATAAAATGAGAAATAAATTGGCATCTATTGTGTGTTTACTGTAGAGCAACATAAGAGGGGAAAAAAGGACAAAACCTTGGAGGAGGAGATTCAAAGAAAGAAAGAAAGCTGGGGATGGAATATGAGCCATATGGAAAAACGCCAGTTACAGTAAAATAAAAAGGGTTTGAAGAGATAATCTAATATTATGACATCCAAAACAAATCCGGGGAATGTTCCAGGGAAATGAGTCCAATAAAACAAGTTGAACGTTGTTGAAAGCAGACAGTGTCAGGTTGGTGTAGCGGGGGGTTAAGAGGAGGTCAGTGGATGGAATCCCTCGGAGGATGTGACAGTGCGGGCAGCATGGTGAAGCACAGGGCAGGTTAATTTGGAAGATGGAAATGCAGCTCCTCCAAACAGCCTCAGAGAAAAGAGCAACACAGAGTCCTTTAGATACAAGACTGGACACAGAAGGCAGTGGCAGACCAGACTTCAGTATACTGACACACACACAGGGACGTAAAAATACACAGTGAGGTTGCACTGGGGCCTGTGGGGTGGGTGGGCACGCCCTCCGACAATGTGTTAGGCATTGCAAGTGACTCAGATTGCCACCCCAGAAATACTCCTGTGTTCAAAAAACGCATCACATTTAACAAGATATAGTGCCATTTAATATATATGCCCTCGAAAAGGCAAACCTGGTTCTCTTTACAAAAGCCAATAGGATTTTTTTCCACTGGATTTTACAGAAAATAAGCTCTGCGACAAACAAAAGTTTATGATACTTACTCATTTTGTTTAGCAAGATAACTAATAATTCCCAGATGAATACCGTTTTTGTAATTTTTGGTGTAAATGCAGTCTCCACAAATAAAAAGCTAACATTAGGCTATAAACAAACTACAATAATGTCCATATGACTTCAGTGTCACCACCACAACAAGGCTGTAAAGTGATGTTTGGCGATGATGCTCTGTAGTCCTATTTAGCCACGTTAATGTTAGGCAGCTATCTGTTTAAACCAGTAGGAGGTAGTGTTGCGCTGTCTATTTCACAGCAAACGTGGCAGTTTACATTGTTTGTCCCTGGCAGGACACTGTAGCATTGAGATTTGCACTGTATAGCCTGCTATGACTGTGTCCGAAATCACTATTCACTACATAGTCCACTATATAGTGAGTTCGCCATTTTGTAGTGCTTATTATACCCTATGTAGTGGACTAAAAGTATCCCACAATGCATCATCAAAAGTAGCGTACAACCGATGGCCACTCGCCAAACATTAAGCTAGGTGCACAACCTAATGCATTGACGGATTGACGCTGACCAGAAGTCATTCATTCCAATGGAGGTGAAAATGATGGATAGTAACGGACTAGCGCGCAGCACGGCAGCGGTTCTGTTGACCATCCGACCATGGAGGCATTGGATTTTACCTACTTGGGCTTTGACAACATGGGAGAAATGGAGCGTTACGGTGCCGGAAGTAGGAAATAACTTGCAATCGCAGTTGTAAACAAACAATCTCTCATTTATTTATGCAAAAGAAAAATAAGCATAAGCTTTTTTTCCACTATTAAAAGTGATTGTTGAACATAGGTTGATTTCTATGCGGTTGATAATCTATATTTTCGAATTTTGCACTCATTTCCAGAGCCCATTTCGCACATATCAACTCTTTCAATAGTACACTACTCAACTCGTCTCAGTTCAGTTGGTACAGTGACAGTCAACGTGAGAGATCTTTGCAGGAAGATATTGCTAGCTCTTCTGCCAGATGACGTCGCTAACAGCTCTCGCCAACAGCACGCTAGCTAGCCGCCTGCATCTGGTTAGGTCCCTCAACGACGGAACCTCGTGGCATTGTTCTGGGGGTGGGGAAACGCTCCGTTAAAACAGGAAAAATAGGTTGTGCACCCGGCGTTATATCCCATCATGCATTGCGCCAAAGCAACAGACATTCTGTGTGGGACGGACACCGAGACGGCCGAGAGAAGAAAGAGCAGTAGCAGGATGACAAGCAGTTGTTCATGTTTAACTTACGATAACATGTTGAAATTTGTTTTACCAGTTCATTTGCCATGTATTAAACTGTCAGTTCAATGTGTCGTTGCTAGAGATATAAATAATCAGCAATTGATCTTCTGTAGTGCTATACAGTCACTGTACAGAGTAGGGCTAATAACGCTAGCTAATGTTAGCTAGCTAGGTCGCAGCCAGCTCTGATTTGTGCTGTAATGCGTAATTGTTATACATTAAATTAAATTATTACATGACTGACAGGTAGAACAAACTTAAGCACAACAAAGGGTAAACAGAAAATTACTGACATTAATAACTTCTTGTATTTACCACAAATATGCATATCAGTATATTATTTTGGATGGTTCACCAACCGATGTTGATATGACAAGTTTTAATTGTGCGACAGCAATGACGTAATTAAGGGGCAGAGAAAATCTGAGTAACCTGAGTAGTGTCTGAAAGTGTTTTTTCAGGTTGCAGGTAAGCTCACTATATATTCCTCTACATAGGGGTCCATATGGTGAGTAGGGAAAGTTGTATTTAGTTTGACAGTTATGTTCATTTTCATTTATTGTTTTATTTTTTAATGCTAATTATTGTTTGAGTAAGAGAATAATTCCTTAAGAAAGGTTAGTTTTCTCATGCCCTGCAAGACTGACTTTTTTGATGAGGGTGTGATGCCAGCAGCAGAGATGTTGCTGTGAAAGTGTTGCTGTGAAATAAACAGCGGTCGAGGTCTCAACCACAATCCCGAGTCCTGCGTCTGGTGCCACCTCCTCTCTCCGCACGGCACTACAACTGCAACTATAAAGAAAAATCACAGGGCAGAGTCCAGGGGAGGGGTAGAGAACACATTACTTCAAAATTTACATGTGGAGTATTTAGTATTAGTATTAGTAATACCTTATATCAGGCCTTTAACCAAAAACTCATCCAAAAAGACCCACTGACTTAAAGATGAAGGTACTTGGAGTGCTAAAATGCTAACTCATATCTGGGTTTTAGGACTCATTTCTACAACGCTCTATTGCCAAGCTGGTTTGCTGTGGCTTTCACATCACTGGGCAGTAACTTGCCGCCTACCCGGCTCATCGATTGGATAGCATCATGGAAGCCCAAGAAGACAAGATGGAAGAGCTAATGATTTTGGGTCTGAGTACCCAGAGTTACGGCGTGATTAACTTAAAAGGACAACGAGAGGAAAAACTGTCACAGCTGAAGTTTCTTAGGTTACGTTTTTTATTTCATTCATTCTGGTTTCAGTTCACTTCACTTCCTGCGCCTGTGTGTTTTCCCTCCCTGTTGATGACTTCACCTGTGTCTGATTGTCTGTCCGGCCCTGATTAGCCTCACCTGTGTCTCATTATTCTTCCCCTCACCAGAGTATTCAGAGGCCGTTTACACGTACAAAGTGATTTTGATAAATGGAGACATCTTCCTTCATTTGTGCCCTTCGTTTACACGCAAACGGAGATTTCTCCTCTGAAAACGAGTCTTTCTAAAAACTCCGGCCAGAGTGGAGATTTTGAAAAACTCAGGTTGCGCGTTTGCATGTAAACTGAGATAAACGGAGATAAACGGAGTTATAGGCAGCCGACGTCACAGTATGCGCCGGAACTTGTGCCTGTGTCAAAAGTGCGACCTATGTTGCTATGGTGACAATGGATACATGGAAGGCTTGAGCTTACACTTCTGCCAGTGCTCAGCAAAGCACCTGCACAGCACGGCAGCCATGCACCATAGCGGCAGCAGACACTTTTTTAAAGCAGCTTTAGCCCGAGCTAAGCATAAACTGCAGTTTCCCGCATTATAGAAATCATTTCTCAGTTAATCTCAAATTAAATAGGAAGCCACTGTATGCACAGCCATAGAAAAGAGATAACTACAGTTTGAGTCTGGAGTAAGAGATCATAAAGGAGCCGGCTTCCCTAATAGCAGCTGGGACTTTACTTGGTAAGAGAAAGCCGTTGCCTGAGGACTTTGTCTTTAGTTCTTAGGGTAGCGAGGAGGCCCGCCTGCTGAGATCTTAAAGCACACACCGACCTTGAATGGGAGACTCCCTAAAGAGGTGAACACTTTTGGAGGGGGAAGAAGAAGAGCAGATGGCTTGGCAAAGGCTCGAGTGGGCCTGTTTGTCTCAGTCACATCTTTGTCAGGGCAGTGTGTGTGTGTCTGCGTCTCTGTGTATGTGTGATGTATTGCAAATCAGCGCAGTATTTGCTTCAGTTGCAGCCTGTCTGGGCTTCACAATAGATGGTTTGCTCTGAGCCTCTCCAGCCCACATCATAGAAAACGCATGTACGGACGCCAGGGCTCAATTGAATGTGAAACCCGGAGTTGCTTTACAAACCAAATAACTGCCCTTCCTCTGAGGAAAAGATGCTTCGCTGTTGCATTTTTTTCTTTTTCGAAGAGGATGGGCTGATAAAAAATAGCTTTCAAAGCAAATATTCACTTCACAGCGTACTGTACGCAGGATACAATAGAGTCACCTAACCTCTATGTTTTATTTAACAGGATCTTTAGACAAATGTGTCGGTGCAGGGGGAGATTTACTTTAGCATCTGTATTGTGTATGTGTTTCAAGACAGAACACACACTTTTCTCACTGAAGATTTCGGCAGAAAATATTCACAAACTTGTCAAACACAAAACTACATGTTCCAATAAAAGTCCACTGATAGAGCTGGATGAGTAACGAGAACCAACTGTGATCAAGTCGTTATCACTGAGCTTCCAAATCTGAACGCTTGTTGACGTCACACAGATCAGCTTTTGACATTTCTTGACAAGCTCTGGGTGTTTTGGAACATCGTCTGGTGAATTTTTTAGGGATTGACAGTTTGCTCCCACACACTTACACCATTACTCAGCCGAGCCTTTCATTCAAATTCTTATTAAGACAATGTCTCATCAACCTTCTGTTCTGAGCGGTTTGTTTGGTGTGTGTGATGTTATTTTGGGCATGTCCAGTGAATCAGAGCGGTCTGTCACAACGCATAATGGTGACTCCGACGTGGGTGCACAGTCTATGACCAAAATTAGTTGTGTAAGCTCTGTGAGAAACTTCTTTATTTATTCACTCGAGGCACCAACATTAGCTCCACTTGGAAAGCTTGGAAATGGTACTTTACATCTTGTCAAGCTCATGAAATGAATAGTGATTTTGATTTGAATGAAGCTAAGTTAGTCCTTGGCTAGGTTTGTGCAGTCATGTATGTCGCATTAAAGAGTTTTAAATTGAGACATTTACATTTACAGTTCTCACCTCGCACCCTTAAGAGGAAAAAAAAACTGCAAAGCTCCTTAAGGATTCACCGCTAATTACATTCCTTGCATTATTTAGCACATGTAGCACATGCGACATGTGTGCCGCAACTGTAAAACATGAAAGCCTCAGCATTATGCTTCCTTGTATGCTTTCATCAATGTTTCGTAGGTCTGCGTTTTTAGAGATGGTTTCTTCTCATTTCTGCCTTTCTTTTTGATTCACAGCTTTGCAGGGTGGTGTGAGAATAACTACCTGGGCCTTAAACCCTGGGCCACATCAAGAGCTTTAAACATCTTGGCACTACCATGTCCTCAAACAGGTTTTCCACTCGAGGACGTCGAGCCATAACCCTCGTGGAGCCTGTTTCTGACAGTTTGGTCAGAAACATGCACACCAGTAGCCTACTTGAGGTCATTTTGTAGGGCTGTGGCAGTGCTCCTCCTTTTTCTCCTCTCACAAAGGAGCAGATACTGGTCCTGCTGCTGGGCTGATGCCCATCTACGGCCCTGTCCAGCTCTCCTCGTGTCTCCTGGTATCTCCTCCATGCTTGAGACTGTGCTGGGAGACACAACAAACTGTCTTGTGACTGTGACTGTGGTGGAGCTGGACTACCTGTGCAGCCTTCTTGCGACCGCAGGTACCGCCTCATGCTCCCAGGAGTGACAAGGACACTAGCAGAACACAAAACTAGAGAAGAATCAGTCAGGGAGGATAAGGAGAGAGCAACTGTCTGTGGCCACCACATTTAAAATCATTTCCTTTTTGGGAGGTTGTCTTGCTTTTGCCTCTCCATTGCACCTGTTGTCACTTTGATTTGCACCAAAACAGCTGAAACTGATTCACAATCACTCGTGCTTCCTAAATGGACAGTTTGATATCCATGAAGTTCCCTTAATTTCTTTGAGCAATGTATTACTGCAGATGCACAACTGTAAATTTGGGCACCTTGATGAGATGTGACATGAGTGCATACCTGATGAAAATTAAGCACACTCTTTGAAATGCCCCTATAGTTTAGCTATGCTGAAAATCTCCTTCTTTACAAACCTCAAGTGACTCACTGTAAAATCCACGTGAGCACATACGCATAAATTACATTCCTTTTTTTGCCACGTTGCATTTTTTCTGATGTGGTAAGAATTTGTGCGGCATAGTGACCCGAACATTGGGGAAAAAAAACTGGAAAAAAAAACTCCCATAGACTTGTCATCGGCTTCTGGTTGCTACTTGTATTGATTACACAGTCACACCTCTGAAGTGCAAAACATAAAATAGCCTTGCCCACAATGCATCATTGATTCGTTCCACCTGAGCACTTCGTTCACAGGATTTACATTTGAAGTACAGCTGGCTGGAAAGTATCGCTGCTCCCTCCCTCTGCAGGTTCCCCGTCCGTGTGTGGAAATCGCACACACACACTGTCTGATTTATTTAGCCTCCGCCCCCCTAACCAGCCTTCATCCTGATCTCTTCCTCAAGAGGCCTCTGAGTTTTTCTCTCTACTCCTGCCTTGTCTTCTTTTAAAGTCTGCTTTTATATTCACCCACTCTCTCTGTCTCACACACACACATACACACTCATGTTGGGCCTGTGATTTGTTTGTGTTTAAAATGACTAATGCCTGTTTGTTGCCCTGTAAGGCACTTTGTGACAAATTGGTTAAAAAGTGCTTTATAATTTGAATTGATGTCGTATGATTTTATTGTTTTTTATTGCTGCGAGGCATTTGTTGCATTAAACTGCCTGCCATCTCCTGTGGATATTAGAGCTGAGTGTGCATCTGGTACGCTGCTCAAAAAGCATTGTGGAGGCCTAACAGACCCGAGGAAGAGGAGGAAATGAAGGCTACTCAGATGAAACAGGTTTTATGATACCATACTCTCTTATACGCATTTGATCACATTTTTTTCCCCAGTTATCTGGCCTGGGGGAGCGACTGTACCCTGATTCTTTTATGCAGCATCACTGTGACTTTCCCTGCATCTCTAAAACAAAGGACTTTCCTCTCCCACTGCTTACCACCCTTGATGGATAAAGACGTAACAAGTCACCATGACAAATGCTGGTCTAAAAGAAAAATGGGAAAGTATCTAATCTTATATGCTGTGTTTGTACCAGACATGCTGGGACATAACATGTTTTTGCAGATTATGATCTTTTCAACCCAATCGCCAGAATAAATGTTGGCATTGTGTGTTTCTGCAAACCACAGAAACGAAACTTGGTTAGGGTTAGAGAAACATCATGTTTTAATTTAAAGAATATGGTTTTGTTGCCACAAACATGGCTGGAAATGTCCAGACTTCTTGTTAAAAAATATCTTGTTTGGTCATCATAAACATGGCTGGAAATGTCCAAATGTCTTGGTAAAAAATACCTGATTTTGTTGCCATGAAAATGGCTGCAAATGTCCAGACGTCTCATTAAAGTATGTCAGTTTGGTTGCCACAAACACACAGCTTGAAATGTCTAAATGTCTTGTTATAACATACCCTGTTTGATTACCATAAACATGGCTAGAAATGTCCAGATG